GCTTTTTGGTGAGCAAAATCAGCTCGATAAGAAACTCCAAAGTTGGTGAGCAAGGTTAGCTCGGTAACTTACTTCTTGCTGAGCAAAACCAGCACGACAAGGAACTCCAAAGTTATCGAGCAAGATCAGCTCGACAACTTACTTCTTGGCGAGCAAAATCAGTTCGGCAAGGAACTTCAAAGTTGGTGAGCAATATCAGCTCGGCAACTTGCTTCTTGACGAATAAAATCAGCTCGGCAAGGAACTCCAAAGTTAACGAGCAACGTCATCTCGACAACTTGCTTCTTGGTGAGCAAAATCAGTTCGGCAAGGAACTTCAACGTTGGCAAACAATGTTAGCTCAACAACTTCCTTTTTGGCGAGCAAGATCAGCTCTGCAAGGAATTTCAACGTTGGTGAGCAAAGTCAACTCGGCAACTGGCTTCTCGGCAAGCAAAATCAGCGTGATAAGGAATTCCAAAGTTGGCAAGTAAGGTCAACTCAGTAAGGGATTTTAAAGTTGGTAAGCAAAGTAAGCTTGCCAACTTACATCTTGGCGAGCAAAATCAACTCGGCAAGGCTTCTTGGCGAGCAAAATTAGTTAGGCAAGGAATTGCAACGTTAGCGAGCAAAGTCAGCTCGGCAACTTACTTCTTGGTGAGCAAAATTAGCTCGGCAAGGAATTTCAAAGTTGGTGAGCAAAGTCAGCCCCGTAACTTGCTTCTTGGCGAGCAAAATTAGCTCAACAAAGAACTCCAAAGTTGGTGAGCAAGGTCAGCTCGACAACTTGCTTCTTGGCGAGTAAACTCGACTCGACAAGGAACTCCCAAGTAGGCGAGCAACGTCAGCTCGGCAACTTGTTTCTTGGGGAGCAAATCAGCTCGGCAAGGAACTTCAAAGTTGGTGAGCAACGTCAGCTCAACAACTTGTTTCTTGGTGGGCAAAATCAGCTTGGCAAGGAACTTCAATGTTGGCGAGCAAAATTAGTTCGGCAACTTGCTTCTTGGCAAGCAAAATGAGACGGGCAAGGAACTTCAACGTTGGCCAGCAATGTCAGCTCAGCAACTTGCTTCTTGGTGAGCAAAATCAGCTCGGCAAGAAATGCCAACGTTGGTGAGCAAAGTCAGCTTGGCAACTTGCTTCTTAATGAGTAAAATCAGCTCGACAAGGAACTCCAAAGTTAGCGAGCAAGGCCAGCTCAACAAGGAATTTTAAAGTTGGTGAGCAAAGTCAGCTCAGCAACTTACATCTTCGCGAGCAAAATCAACTCGGCAAGGCTTCTTGGTGAGCAAAATTAGTTCGGTAAGGAATTGAAACGTTGGCGAGCAAAGTTAGCTCGGCAACTTACTTCTTGGCGAGCAAAATCAGCTCGGCAAGGAACTTCAAAGTTGGCAAGCAAAGTCAGCTCTGTAACTTGCTTCTTGGCGAGCAAAATCAGCTCAACAAGGAACTCCAAAGTTGGCAAGCAAGGTTAGCTCGGCAACTTGCTTCTTGTCGAGAAAACTCGGCTCGACAAGGAACTCGAAAGTTGGCGAGCAACGTCAACTCGACAACTTGTTTCTTGGGGGGCAAATTAGCTTGGTAAGGAACTCCAATGTTGGCGATCAACTTCAGCTCGGCAACTTGTTTCTTGGCAAGCAAAATCAGCTCGGCAAGGAACTTTAACGTTGGCGAGCAAAGTCAGCTCTGCAACTTGCTTCTTGGCGAGGAAAATTAGCTTGGCAAGAAATTCTAAAGTTGATCAAAACTATCAACAAATCTCTTGCCGAGCAAAATCTGCCCCGCAAGGAATGTTAAAGTTGGTGAGCAAAATTAGCTTGACAACTTACATCTTGGCGAGCAAAATTAACTTGGTAAGACTTCTTGGCGAGGAAAATCAACTCGACAAGAAATTCTAAAGTTGATCAAAACCATAAACAAACCTCTTATCGAGAAAATCTGCCTGACAAGGAATTCCAAAGTTGAACAACACACCAACTTTCATCTTGCTGAGCAAAATCAGTCCGACAAGACATTTTGATCTTTCCGTCAAAGTGATTGTCAGTTGCCCCTTAGACTGCGCGAAATCTGCTTGGCGAGGTGAAAATACAATAATTTTCAAGAAAACAATCTACTTGTTTCATTATATCAATAGCAAAAAGTGTTAGAAGAATAAAACTAAGAACAAAACTTTAGATCAGCAGAGTTCGACGTTCTGGAAATGGATCGGCCATGTATATTTCGCGAGTTTTATGCCCCTTTTCCTCGGCCTTTTTACTGACGTCTTCCAAAACCGAACTCCCCAGATCTCTTCTATGGTTGTTTGCACGGCCATCCTTTTGTCCGACTATTTGAATCTTTCCCGCTACTCTCATGTCCTCTACTACCGAACTTGTCTTCACAGTAGCTGCAACTGCATCGTTTTCTACTCGAATGTGCTCATTAATGTGTTGCATGAGCAGTTCCATGTCCAACGGTTGATTTATTATGAGCGAGTCTCTCAGTCTATGTCCAAATGGAAGACCGCGCTTATACTGGGTGATTGCTAAGTTCGTCAGGCAATCAAGAACCTCATTGAATGTCTCATAATACTTGGCATTGCACGTCTTCAAGGAGTCGCCTGTTTCTATCTTGATTCCCAAAAGGTGGTTGATTTCTTTAGGTGTTTTTGTGTTGGTCTTGAATCGTGTCATGAATGCCTCCGCAAATAGCTACCACTTATCGATACTTTCTTCTGGCAGCCTCTTGAATCATTTCAGGCCCAACTCTCCCAAACTCGATGGAAAAACAAGGCACATGAGTGCATCGTTTCGCCTGTGCCCAACCATAACCTGTTGGAAGTGGCTTACGTGCATGTATAGATTGGTCTTTTCATCATAGAGCGTGAACTTTGGCTGATGAAACCCGGAAAGGAGCGGTGTGTTCTCGATCTCTATGGAAAAATAGGTGGCGCTCAACCTTGTTAACTCTCTATTTGGTGGCATGTCAACCTCTTCATTGGCTCACCCTCTAGGGGCCAACCGCTGCAGTGTAGATACCCTATGCGCTTCCCGTTGGTGAGTGCACTCTTCCAACACATCTCTCAAGGTTTTCGAACGGTCGGAGCATGAATATCTCGACGACGGCGTCAGACGTGAGGGGTGGTAACTACTGTCTTACGTACGATTTGTCGCCACCGGCACGATGTAGTCCCCAGTTCTAAAGCTTCTCATGGCGGAGAGTGAAGGGGTGCGGCGTTTATTTTGGCTACCAGAACGGTGAGAATGAGCATGCTCTCTGTGGTTCTTCACTCCAGTAACGTCATTTCCCTTCATCAAGCATTTCATGGCCTCCATCTTCATCGTCATCTTTTTGATGATCGTATCTTGATCTCTCAACTTGTCTTCCAGGTGTAGAGTGTGTGAGTCTTATCTGTCCAAATTTCATGGTCATGATGACAGAGCGCCCAGAACTCCTTACACGCTTGTCTCGCGCATCTGCCTTGTGGGAAGGTCTCTAAACCAGCCATCGTCACAATGGCGGGCATACCATCGCTACGCCGAACGGACTCTGGAGTGATGTCGTCGATGGCAGACAATAAAATATCGTCGTTGTTCACCATAAACGATAACCGGAAAAGCTTGAAGGATAAGGTTTTGTCTATCAGATTCCCCCATATGACGCCAATTATACAGGGAGGAAATATTCGTTGCTCTCCATACTCCTTAGGTCCAAGCTCTATGTAGCTCCGAACAAAATTGTTCAACTTGAGAACAAAACGACGATGAGTTACCCGGCATGTGTGTGGCCGAAAAATCCCTCCGAAGACCAAGTTAGCACACTTTAGAGAGAAAGGGAATGTAGAAAGAGAGAGTTGATAGAATTCGCTTAGCTTTTCTAAGTGTAAGGTCGCATGCCCTATCTAGGGTGTTGTCTCGCCTCCTAAGGTTGTGTGTGCACTACTTCTGTCGTCCTCTTTTGGACGAGCGGCTGTACTGCTCTCTTTATTTCTTATACGTGTCTGCATCAATACCGCCAAACGATATTGATGTGCACCTTTAGTGGATTCCTTTCATCACATTCCGATTGGGCCATGTGGCTATTCTTACCGAGTTATATATTACCCGATCTTACTTAGCTCTCCAGCCTTAAGCCTCGGGGTCGAGCTGACTCTTGCTGGTCTATATCCGAAACGCTTAACCAACTCGGCATGTCACACTCGCTCTGTTGAGTTCTATCCCTTCGTCAAGGCAAATTCCGCCTGACCCCGGCGCACAACAAGTGCATCTAGCCCAGTCAAAAGCATCGTCATTTCACCTAGCTTGGCTCATGATCCAAGCCTAACAACTAGCCTGGTCTAACTTCCAGATCTCAAACTACCTTGACTGCGTGTTCCAAAACCTCAGTCCAAGCCGCCCTCAATTATGCCAGCTCGGTCGTGCAACTTGATGACATGGCCCAACTCTCTCTCAAACTTGATCCCAAGCAAGAGAGTCAAAGGGGCTTATAGGTGCTTCTGGGTCTAGAATGTCAAATTTGAGAACTGGCCCAAACCAATATAGTGGATGGGACAATGGAACCATTTAGGGCTTGATGATGGGTTCCAATGGTTGGCCAGTTAGGTTGGACAACCTCACCTAGACTAAATGTTTGTACTTTCATTTACACTTCAGTAGTGGAAACAAACAAAATAATATTTTTTGGCTCAACTTTTTCACAATCTTGATCTGATGATGATTGTTTCTTGATATTCATTTTGTTGCCATACCTTAACGTTAATGGATAAACATGATGAGGAAGGAAGAAGATGAGTTAGTGGAAGAACAGAGAAGAGGTAATTTAGTATTTGAACTTTTGAAGCATATAAAAACTATTATAATAAAATGATGACATAACAGGATAATATTAGGTATTGTAATACACTAATTATGATAACCACTACATAAAGATCCTCATTTTACATATTATCATTACAAAGATGATCAAATCCTAGATTTAACGTTAATGGATAAACATAATGAAGAAGGAAGAAGATGAGTTGGTGGAAGAACAGAGAAAAATAGTGGAGGGAGTTAATCTAGTATTTGAATTTTTGAAGCATATAAAAAATATTATGATAAAATGATGACATGGCAGGATAATATTAGGTGTTTTAATACACTAATTATGATAACCTCTACATAAAGATCCTCATTTTACATATTATCATTACAAAGATCATTCAAATCCTAGATTTTTTGTAGGATCAAGTGAGCACCATGTTGGGGATTGAGTGTTAAAAAAAGAACAGGAGCGTGCACGTATGATGGAGAAAGCTGGAATGAAAAACGTTGTAAAATCATTGCTAGGGCTATTTTTGCTTCCACCATTGAGAAGTTTTGTCCAATACATATACGAGGACCCCCACTAAAAGGAATGAATGCGCCTGGGCCCTTTGTTGCCTTTGTAACTCCTTCAGAAAATCTTTCAGGCTTGAAATCTGTTGCATCGTTGCCCCAAATTTCATGGTCATGATGGATTGCAAGAATTGGCAACAAAAGTTCTACTCCAGGAGGTAGAACAAGTTCTCCTAACTTTGTCTTCTTGTGTATAGTTCGGCTAAGGATGACTGCTGGTGGGTATAACCTAAGAACCTCGTAGAGAATCATGGTCATCTGCAATACAAAGGTTGTAGGAAGATAAATAAAAAACAAAAGTTGTAGCACAGTTCTACTATGAACACAAAATCTTATCACAAACCTACACATAGAATGTATATAGATGGACAAGATTTTTCAAAAATATTTATTTTATACTGTGCACGGCAACTGTTAGTATTACTCTAAAACTATACTATTGGTGAACTTTCAGAATTACATTTGTGCATTATATTTTTCATCTTTTTTATAAAATAAGAAAATGATGTGGCATTTCACCTAAAATAAAAATATGTAGAGCATGATAGGGAAAAAACTGAGTAGACAGTTCTATAAATTTGAGTAAAAATCCAAAACTTGATTTGTGTAGAAAATACTCACAGTTTTGAGCTTATTTAATCCATCAGAGTCTGGCTTCTTGTCTCCAAACACTGCCAAAACCTCTTCTCTAGCTAGAGCTTGCCACTTTTGATACTTACTCAACAAGATCATTGTCCATACAAGCAAAGCTGATGTGGTCTCTTGCCCAGCAAGGTAGAATAGCTTGCACTCTTCAATCACCTCTTCTGTTGTCAGTGTGATGTTCTTCTTGTTTCCTTTTTCTTGAATTTCTTTCAAATTTGTTTTCAATAGTATTCCTAATAAGTCATCATCTCCATCATTCTCCTTTATCATCCGCTCTCTTTTATTAATGATATTACTCAACAAATCTCCCACTTCACAATAGATTGCTTTCATCCTCATGTTTGTCTTTGTTGGTAGAAACCTGCTGCAATTAAGTAGATCTCATCAAAGAGATGATGCTGGGTTCTAGCCACAAATTTTGTAAAATCTTATTATTTTGTATTTTCTTTCTATTTTTAATTTCTGTGATCATGACAGAATTTCAGACATACCTCCAGCCTGGAATGTAAATTGATTGCATGAGTTGTATTGAAAGGCTACTTTGTTCTTTTTGGAGTTGGAATATCCTTTTTCCTTCTTCATAATTACTACCAAATGCTGTTCGAGAAATTACGTCAGCTGTCAGATTATCGAGATAAGACCGTACATCAACCTCGCATGACCCTTTTGTTGATGAGACTAACACTTCCCATTTGCTTATCATCTCACTACAACTTGAGCACATAGCAGGAACCATATGCTACATAACAAACACCAAAGAAACTATTAAGCACGTCGATCATGGAAGTCAATTCTGGGTTGTTTCTTACTTTGAAAAGCAATTCCAAGGAAGAGAAACAGGTGAATGTTCAATCCATGATTTAAACACAGCTTAATTACCTTTAGTTTTTCTAGATGAAAGGCTGGATTGAGAAGGTTTCTGTGCATAACCCATTTGTCACCCTCCAACGTTACTACCCCACTCACTAGCAACCTTTCAAGAGGGTTTCTCAGTGGCTTTTGAAAGATTTCATAGTTAAACAATATCTCCTTTATCAGTTTAGGATTTGCAATGTTTACTCGTGGTATTGGGCCCATCCATTGAAAGTAATCTTTACCTGAAAGTTTTGGCCATTATTTGCCGAGGTGAGAAAAAAATGAAAGAATTGAATTTTAATGAAGGTATTCAATTCGAAATTAATTGGTACTAACTCGATGGACTCTTAGAATCCATGCTTAGGTGACATGTTGCCGGTTTCATGTTGAGGTTACACAAAGACGAAAAAAGAAAAAAATAAATTTGTCACTCAGATTTGGCCTTGAGACCACTTAAGATCTAGATTTGATAAAATGTCAGAATTATAGAATGTATTTAATTCAAATTTTACATTAGCTGGAGAGGCTTTCACTATATTAATCATTCCTAGATAAATTAGAAAGGGGATATTGATAATTAAAATATTGGAAAAATTACAAAAAAATAAAAATAAAATAAAATAAAAATAATTTGATCCTTATAACAAAATAATCTCTGAATTTTTAATTTTATTATTTTAAAATTTGAATTTTTGATTTGATTTTTTAATTTAAACTATATTTGATTTTTTAATCTAAACTATTAGTCTATTTTTGTTAAGTAAAATCGATTAACAAAAATATTTTAATCATTAGCTTAGGTGTACATAAAATGATTAAAGTATTTTTTTTTTTTTTTTGAGTTTAATGTCTAAAATATATATATTTTTTCTGAAAATTGATAGATGGTTTATATTAAAAATAAATCAAAAGCTTCGAATTTAAATTGATAAATTCAAAATTTATTTTGATACAATAACCAAACTTTGATTTTTTTTTTAATTTTTTTCTAAAATATTTTAAAGGAAAATGATTGGTGGCCCTAAAAACTTTGCCCCTAATGCCCCTAATTTCCAATTTTAGAAACTGTTTTCTTTTTTTCTTTCTTTTTTCCTTTTTTTTTTTTTTTCTTTTTACCTAAAGTGGAATTTCGGGGCATTCGAGCCCCGAAATTTAGGGCCCTCAATCACTTCCGTATTTTAAATTCATCCTCTTCCAAGAAAACAAGAAATTTTTTTTAAATTGACGCTTTTTTTTTTTTTTTTTTCCTCTTTTTCCTTCCCCTTCTCTTTTCTCTGTCAAACGGTTGAGAACCAAACTCTTAACAAAAAGAGAGGGCGAGAGAACGAGGAGAAGGGAGAACGGAGGAGGAAGAGGAAGAGAGGATGCCGGAGATGGCTTCGTCGGCTAAATGGGAAGCCGCCGGAGTGGGTTTGCAGTGTTGCATCTCTATAGAAAAGAAAGAAATGAAAAAAATCAGAACCTCCTTCCTCTTCTTCTTTCTCTTCTTCTTCCTCTACTCTCTCTCTCTCTCTCTAAAAATTACCAAACCCATCACAAAATTGAAGCAAACCTACTTCTCTCTCTAAAAGCTATTAAATCCACCACAAAATTGAACCAAATTCAACATGGGTTATTCAATTACCACTAACAAATAACATAAATCATTCAGATTCAACAGTCTGATTCTTGTTTCTTCAATTTCTTTCTTTCTTTCTTTTCTTCGATTTTTTTTATTTCTTTCTTTATGTTGTTTTTGGAGAGTTATTGATTTGTATATGAATTTTGTTTTGAATAAACAGATTTAGAGGAAGAATGAAGGAGGGTGGTGTTGGGCAGGCCGAAGCTAGTAGGAGTGGAGAAGAGGAGGCTAAAGGATGGGTCTGAGAGAGTAGAGCGGAGAGAAAAATTCGAACCTTTCAAAGGTTAAAAATTCGAACTACAAAACTTTATTCCCTCGTCATTGAGTAAAAACCGAAAAAAAAAACTCGTACCATGAAGATGGACGCTATGATGGTGGGATGGTAGGACGCGTGGGATAATATCGTCTGAGGCCGTGTCCATGGGTTTGGATATTGATTCCCTCGTCATTGACGTCATCTCTTTTGTGTCTCCATACAACACTTTGTATGGATTTCCCTTGAAACCTTGCTCTCTCAACCACTTCTCTAACTGCTTCGGCCTCAACCACACCCAGTTCACTACCCTCCATGCGCATGTTAGCAAAGTTACGAAAGCTATGGAGGTAACAATAGAGCTCACTGGTACTTCCATGTTGGAGGAGGAGTAGAAAGAGAGAACAAGACCACCACAAACTTTGTTATCCGGCAGATGTCCTACAATAGGTTGGTATATATTGGATAATAGGATGTTGCAGATATGGATTCTAAACCATTTGATCCACTGTCATCACTGTCCACAAAACAAACCAATTAATAGACAGCATATTTTGGAGGAGTAAGGATCGTTTTAGAGTTTTTTTTTTTTTAAATTTTTTTTAAAATGATGTTGTTGAGATTTAATCACAAATTACATTAATTTTTTAACATTAAATTTCAACTACACAATACATCATTTAAAAAAAATTTTAAAAAAAAAACACTTTAAAATATCCTTGGTGATTTTGAAGCCCAAGGCTGTACCGTACTGGTGGTGCTCTTCTTTAATTATAAAAAATGTTAAAAATCTATCTCGACATAAAAATAGTTTTTTTTTTTTAAATCAAAAAATTAGAAAATTAGGATTAGGAGATTGAAACTCCCACAGGCCTTGGGGTTAAAAACCCCCTTTTACTTAATATATAGAATAGATATAGATAAATAAATAGATATAGATCGATAGATAGATAGATATAGAGATAGATAGATAGATAGATAGATATAGATCGATAGATAGATAGACAGAATAGTTCTTTTTTCAAAACTCATTAAGTAAAATATTTATATAAAAAAATTAAAATAATCAAATATTAATTATTATATATTTAAATTATATTTATTTTAAAAAATAAATGACAAATATAATTTTAAAAATAATTATATTTAGTTATTAAATATGTTAAGAATCATAAAATAAAAAATTTTAAAATTTAGCTTAAAAATAATTGGTGGTATATTTATTTAAAGTTAGTGAATAGTGAGAGTTGGTTGATTCATTTTTTTAATATTTTTGTGAGTAACTTTTTAATTATATAATATTATTGTTTAATTATTAGTTAATGCAGTAAAGTTTGTTATTTAAAAATAATAATTAAAAAAAAAGTATACAAATCCTGTTCTAAAATATATATACGGCAGTGATAGGTAGCTCGAAACCGAGCCGCTCGAAATGGCTTGAATTCAAAAACGGCCTCGTTTTTTAGATGAAGGTGAAGCAGAACCAGAAGCAGGGGAGGGAGGAGGAGGAAGGAGGAAAGAGGAGAGACTAGAGGGGGCCCAACATTTGGGGCTGGAAGCGGGGCCGGGGGGCGGAGGCAAGGCAGAGTCGGCGATCGCTGGTGCTGTGACGATCGGCAGCAGCTAGGCGACGGCGGTGACGGTGGCGCGGCGAGCAGCGACAATCCTCTCTCTCTCTTTCTTCTCTGTTCTTTCTCCTCTTTTCTTCCTCTCTTCTCTCCCTCTTTCTTCTCTTTTCTCTCCCTCTTTCGAGTCAATTCGAGCCATTGGATTCGAGCTACGGCTCATTTCCGATATATATATGTATATTGAAAAATCTAGAAATCCCCCCTAGATATTGATTTGTGATAATGTAACAATTTTAAGCAGAATATAACAATCCCAATCGAACAATCAAGACAAAGAGACACAACGATTTTACGTGGAAAAAATCACAATTGGACACCTCCAACTGGGATCAAAAAACCACGGGCAACAGCCACAAAACATTCCACTAAGAAGATTTAAAAGAATTGCACAGGTATACTCTCAATTACCTAGCGAATCCACGCCTAATTGAACCAACCTCTATGTGCCTCTTCCAACCCCGTCTTCACCTCGGAATTGTCTTTACGATGAGCCACCTCGGAATCCACCAAAGCTTCAGGCTCGAATTCTTCAGAATCCACCGAAGAACAACTCTCTCTTTTGTAGAACAAACGAAACCTTTGATGTATACTCTTCAAAACATGAGTTGAATACTCAATCAAAAAACATCAAAGAAAACTCACAAAGTATCCCCAGATATAAACCCTAAAACCCAAAAAGAAGATCTGGAGCAGTAATCCTAAAATCTGACGTAACATGCGAATTTATAGAATCTGTCCCGCGATCTCCGCTCGAGCGCCCAACAGCCCGCTCGAGCGGCTTCAGCAAAATATGCGCGAAATATAACAGAGGTCCGCTCGAGCGCTAGAGAACCCGCTCGAGCGCGAAATCACAAATCTCAGTACTTTTACAGGCGACTAAAACTGCTGGAACCAGGAATTCTCCGCTCGAGCGCGGGTATGTCCGCTCGAGCGGATAGGCAATTTTGAATGCATTTTTGCATTTTGCTTTGGGGGCGCTGCCCCTCGACCCCGCCGTGGCGCTGCCCCTATTTTGGGGGCGCTGCCCCAGGACCCGCCAAGGGGAGCTGCGCCCTGGACCCCCGCGAGCTGACCGGGCAGCTCGATCCCCGTCATAATCAGCGAAGTGGCAATCTTGAAAGCATTAGCAACACAAACTTCTCTGAAAGGCACAATTCGGGTTGGATTCGCATCTAAACACTCATAGCCTCACTGAAATAAAAATTCGAATAAAATTACAACTCAATAGAGTTTTGTCAAACGGGATTGCCAAGAATAAAACCTAACATATATAAATACCAAAATTTTCAATCACCGAAAATTTGGTGACTTTTTTGTTTTAGATAGGTAGTGGTGATTTCAATGATGGAGGTGTTTCACTGCTTGTAACACAGCCCTTATTTTAATATTTATATTATCTTCTACCATTCTTGCTGCATCTCACTCTATAATATGTATATATATATGAGATGGAAAATCACGCGATTTGGCCGTCTGGCCGTCATGCTCTTCTGCAGCAGCAACTCCGCCTATAGGGGTGGCAAGACGGTGGTTTCAAATCCGATTTTGGTAAGATCTTGTTCATTTGAGTAGATTTGATGAATATTTTAGTGTTTTATTTGAATATGATATCTTTTACAAGACTTTCTTATGGAATACTTATTAAAATGATTTGGGGTTCCGGATCATCAATACTAATTTCTCATTTTATATTATGAATCATGCATTTGGTTAGAGATTTGGATAACTTTACCACGAACATGTACTTTTAAAAGACAGAAAAAACAAAATTTGATCAAATAATTTTTTTGAACAGTAGATATGATCTATTCAGAATGAGAAAGAAATTGTTGATTTTTTGTGGTGGCTGTTGATATTTGTTAATGATGAAAGAAATTGCAACAGATAGACAGAGAAGAAAGATTTGAATATATAGAAAAAAAAATTTGAGCATATAATCAAATTTGGTCAAATATTTGAACATATATGGGAAAAAAATTAAACAGATAATCAAAAAAATTGAACAGATAGAATTTTATTTGGACAAATATTTAAACAAATAAGGAAAATTTGAATTGAAAAGATTAAAAAAATTAAACAGATAGGAAATTTTTTTGAACAAATAGAAAAAATTTTGAACAGAAAGGGAAAATTTTTGAACAAATAGGAAAAAAATTTGACTAGACAAGAAAAAAATTGAACAGATAGTTAACAAAAGTCAACAAATAAAAAAAAAACAACAGATAAATTAAGAGATAAAATTAGAAACAAAATATCTATCAAAACAAATAAAAGGACTTATCACTAAACTATTTCATAAATGATGAACCTCTCACCAACAAAAAAATATCCACTGGATCTAATGTCTTAAACAATTACTAGAGTAAACTTTTCAACAATTTTCTCTAAACAAAAAGCAACACTTACACAACACTCTGCTTTCAATTATATATAGGGAATGGCTTATTTCCAATTAAAATGTCAACTAGATCAGATAGTTGAGGTTTCTGACGAGTAAGAGTCATTAAACAAAAGACTCTTACCAGTCAGAGACTTTAAAAAAATTCGACTGGACTATATTTTCATAAACTTTTACTGGTAAGAGTTTTTCGTTTAGTGACTCTTATCGATCAAAAATCCTAATTGTCTGATATACTTAACTTTTAACTGAAGACAAACCAAGTATATATATATGTAAACCTCTGGCATTCTAGAGGCACATAAATTGACTTATGGGTTTGCTTGTTTTCAGAGGTAGAATTGAGAGTTTGTAGTGAGATGATTAATAATAAGGGAAAAATAGTGAGAGAATTAAGTAAAATAGTGTTTGTTTTGATGATAGTTGTTGGTGTAGGGATTGTTAAATCATTTTTATATAAAATAACAAAACAAATTAAAAATTACAAAAATATTAAACATTAATGTTAAAAAAAATGCCTAACATGTAAAAATAAAAAATAAAATAAAACAAATAAAATTATGATTTTTACTTATCAAAAAAATACAAAAAATTAAATATTAATTAATGTTTAAAAAAATGCCTAACATGTAAAAATAAAAAATAAAATAAAACAAATAAAATTATGATTTTTACTTATCAAAAAAATACAAAAAAATTAAATATTAATGTCCAAAAAAAATGCCCAACATGTAAAAAATAAAAAAATAAATAAAAATAGTTCGGCGAACTATTTTCTAATACCATGTCCCAAGCCTCCATCCTAATCCCCTCCCCAAAATCCATCCTAATGGAAGGTATAAATTCCCTCTCCATCTCTCAAAACAAACACAATATTAGTGGGTCTCACCTCAATCTCAATCTCAATCTCAATCTCAATCTCAATCCTCCTTCTATCTCCCAAAACAAACAGGGCCTATGAGTTATGAAACTCCTATGAAATTTAGGTAAATTATTAATAAATTTTACTTTTAAAACTTATTATTTATGTTCCTGTTGAATATTTTTAGAAATAAGTTTATAGTAATAAATTTATCAATAAAATTTATAAATAAATAAATTTACTTAATAAGACTGATTAGTGAGCATGGACTTGGATTCTTTCTTATCCACCTTCGGTGGATTGGATGGTTGGATGTGGTCTGTATGTAGGGTGTACAATGAATCCCTTATTTTGTTGATTTTTTTTTACGAGTGACTTATATGTAGATCGTAATAGTTTAATTTATTATTTAAAAAATATAATTAATTGTTAATTTTTAGTGATAGTTTAAAAATTATCACAAAAAATTGTTATTAATTATAAATTTTAGTGATGGTTTAAAAAAAATCGTTACGAAAAAAATTATTAATTTTTAACTTTCAGCGACAGTTTGAAATATTCGTTACAAAAAAGTCACTAATTGTAAGTTTTAGCGATAATTTATAAAAATTGTAACAAAAAAAATTACTAA